AAAGATTTTATCACATTGTGAAATCAGATACCTTTACTTTCCAAAAAAAGGGAGGGAAGAGTAAACTATATAATTTTTCCTTATGTCGTTAATGAAAAATGAGCTGTCTGGCCTTGACACATTATTTAGGTTAGCCAATTATGTTTAGTCTTTTAAAGGTTTATTTAGGCTATGATGAACAACATTGCCTTAATTGAATTACTCCATATTTTGTAACATTAATTATAACCACCACGTTTTAATCATTCTGTCATATGGCTATGGGGGTTTGCCCTCCTTCGCTTAGCATAGGCAAAATTTGGTTTGACTTACATATTCTTATTTTTAATTTTCTACAGGTACAGAAATGGCCCACTCTCATTAATTTTCCTATATGATACTTGAGAAGCTGTGTGAAGGATTCATTTTCTTTGCTCTCCTGTCAGTTTCGACTTCTTTGTGAGCGTTTTTAACTGGACAAAGACAAAATGGACAAAGAAGAAAGAAAATTTAGGAGACGACCTTGTATTAAGAAGTAAATCTTCCTTTGAAAAGCCACTAATCAAGGTGGTGGCGCAGAAGGAGGAAGAGTACATGGACTTGTTATGATTCCATTCTGGGATAGAACTAATATTGTAGGAGAGAGGTAGCCTCAAACACAAAAACGATTCAAAAAAGAAAGAAGTGTCCATTTTCTTGTTTTCCAAATTATGGAACTTTTGTGGAAGACGTTGACCTGGATATTGGGCCTTGTCATGGTTTCATCAGAATCTCACAGGGACCAAAGACTCACCTATCGATCTCAAGGTAGGGTTTTTCTATTAGATTTAACCAGTGAATCTTTGTTTCTGTATTCCACATTAGTTTTTTAGAAACTCAAGAGTCCACCAGTTTTTTACTTATCACTGATTAAAATAAGTTTTATGTTAGTTATTTTTTTATCACTCAGCATGTCAACATCAAACCTCTGGACATGTTTAGGACCCATCCATCAAAACCTTTTATAGATAATAGTACCACCTTCACATGTCAGCAAAAATTGTGCACTGTGAGCTCCTCTGTTTAATAAGAGCCACATTGTGAGTATAGAGTGATATATTCATAAACATCCCACTAGACAATTTTTCTATATGACACTTACATTTCCAGGCCCCATGGAACATCGTGCATCCTAAGGGTAAAGATAGTTTGGCCTATAAAATACTTTTCAATTTTATAAAAAGGCCCAGTTTAAACTAAATGGCCTGCAGAAGCTCACAGCAGCCCACAAATGCTTCAATACACCAGTCCATCCAGGGAGTCTAGTTTGCCAGTCTGGGCCTGGCTTTGGGTGTGTGAAAGGCACCCAGTTTCAGTTGCTGTCTGTAATGTACAGTTATTTACCTATGTGTTACACTATTTTCTGCAGGACATTCCTGAGATAATCTACCAAGATATACTATAGGGATGCCAATAGAACCTTGCTTAGAATAATGGATGTTGTATTGGTCTAGTTTGTACTACTCCCTATTACTTTCCTTTTCCTTTGCATGGTCCCTTCATGGATTGGCCTGACTTGCGTGTACAAAGGGGAGTTCCTGTCTTACCTTGAACACTACCAGCTGACGGTTCCTATAAGGGTTAACCACAATGGGGATTTTGTCAGTTTTACTGTGAAGAATGACAAACACTCACGGAGGAAGAGGAGTATGGACTCTAAAGATCAAGAGCAGGAAGTTTCTAAATTATTTTTTAAAATTTCTGCCTATGGCAAGCACTTTCACTTAAACCTGACTCTAAATACGGATCTGGTTTCCAAACACTTTACAGTAGAATATTGGGGGAAGAATGGGCCTGAGTTTAAACACGATTTCATAGAGAACTGTCATTACACGGGATATTTACAGGACCAAAATACCACAACTAAAGTGGCTCTGAGCAACTGCAATGGCTTGGTGAGTATCTCATCAGCTTCAAAGTCATGTGTTACAGTTTGTAATGCTTTGTTTTACTGTATAGTTTTGTAACTTTTTTTTTAAAAAATGTGAATCAGCCCTCATGCAATGAAAGATATGTACAATGATGTATTATTCCAACTATGGTTTTATTAACGTAAAAATGGCAATCTGATGGGTAGACTGTTAATGTATCAATATAGATGGGCATCATACTTGGCATCAGGCTTGAAGTGATTGTAAAGTTAATTTTGTAAACTTAGAAACATGTTATACTTACCTGCTCTGTGCAATGATTTTGCACTGAGCAGCCCTGATCCTCCTCTTCTGGGTCCCTCGCTGGTACTGTGATCTCTTCCTCTTCTCTGTGTGCCATCATAGGAAGCTGCTTCCTATGGTGGCACATGTGTGCTGTGCTCTTTGTGTCCATTGAAATACACAGTGTGGCTATGCCCCGCCCACGGTCCTTCATCACAGGATTTGATTGCCATTGGCTCCCAGTGAGGAGGAAGAAAGAGAGCAGTGCCACTGCTTTTGAGGCACAGTGCTGGATTGAGATCAGGCTCAGGTAAGTAGTTGGGTGGGCTGGGGGCAGCTGACAATAGAAGTTTTTTTTACCTTCAAGTGCTTCTAAAGCCTAAACATTTTTTTACCTTAATGCATTCCTTGCATTAAGGTAAAAAAAAATATTTAAGCATCAGAATCCCCCCTAATCCCCCCTTTTACTTACCTGAGTCCTCATTCAATCCAGCTTCCTGCACATCTGCAGCTCTTCTCTCCCCTTACTTCCATGTCTTCCTGGATTTGCTGGAGCACTGGGAGCCATTGGCTCCATTCACTGTCAATCAAAGCCAGTGATGAGGGAGTAGGGGGCGGGACCGAGTTCCGTTTTCTATGTCAATGGACACAGCATCAGGGCTCAGGAACGATCAAGCACAAGTGTCCTCATGAGAAGCAGCTTCCCGTGGGGGCACTGGACATGGAGGAGGGGCCAGGAGCGTCAGGGGACCCGAGAAGAGGAGGTTCGTGACCGCTCTGTCCAGTTCCTTTGTACAGAAGAGGTAAATATAGACATGTTTGTTATGTTTTTGAAAAAAAAAAATAACCTTTACAATCGCTTTAATACAGAGAATGCGTAAAAAAACATCAGCCTTTACAACCACTAAAGTGATATTAAACCTGCAGCGTTTTTAGCTTTAAAATTCCCCAATAAACTATTTACTTGCCCAAGCAATTGCAGTTTTCAACTTTCAATGCAGCTGACATCTGCACCTTCAGTGCTGCTTCCCTGTACTTCAGGTCTTAGATCTCTAGAGCAAACTTTAGAGGCAGAGACAGGTTGCTATTCCAAGGAAGATTGTTGTATGGCAGGTGCCGGTCATTATCATACCTCTGTTGTTGCTGAGTAAGTGCACTGTATTTATATGCTGTACTGCCTGAGGACTGGAAACGGGTAGAATGTTACATTTGCCTCTTTTCCTGTTTCCCTAGTGGCAAAACAGAAGTAGCGCTTCATTATTATATTATTAAGGAAGGATTTTTATAGAAAAGGTTTGTATAGATTAAAAATATATATATATATATTTACTTTAATATTTACACTACACATTTAGTGTGAAAATGTGGTCACACATATACACAGTATCCTGTAGCTTTAATGCTTACCCTTGTTAATTAAATTCAAAGTGTTTTCAAAAGGATTCCTTTTTATGCAATATGGGCAAATTTTGAATTGGTTCTAGACTTCAGTTTTCCAAAGCCTTAGCTGTGGCTTTAGACAGTATAAACCTGTGGATGTGTCTTTTTTTCAACCTGAGTACTTAAATGATATAACCAGGTAAATGCTAAATGAGAGCAGCTCATGTAAGTGAAGGGATTACCAAATCACAAAGAGGATGCTCCAAACAAGCTTCATGTGTTTTTTGGCTGAATCCACATTTTTTCAGGGATCAGTAGTCACTTTCTTCTTTAATTTATTATGTAGCTTCTCGTTTACATTTTTTACATTGATATTGAGCTTTTAACTTTATTATTTACATGAACTGTCTTTTGTCCTCTTTTTTTGGACTGCTTTGTTTTATTACATGTTTGACTGATCTAAGACCTTGGTCTTCAACACACTAGTTAGGCTCCATGTACACTGGCTTAAAAAACACTGTTCCTAGAGGAGTTTAGCATTTTGCCTGTAGAAGCACCTAATGTTATCCTATGTGCACATTAGATAGTCTAGAAGCGTATTTTAAGTTCAGCTTTTAGAGGCAGAAAAAAATTCTACACACTCCTAAACTCTAGTACAAAAAATGCTCAAAATTAGCTTTTTTTTCTGCCAAGAGCACTGGTGTTTTTTTAAGCCAGTGTGCATAGTCTTAAAGTAGAAATAAACTCTCCTATAGTTACAGTTGAGGATGCGGCCATCTAAGCTTCTGTTTGTTCTACAGTTGCCATGGTGTTGCACATGTGATCCATCATGACGCCAGTCCTTTGAGGACTTGACAATTCAGTTGACATCACAAGCCACTATGACTTGAATGTAACTGTTCAACCATTAAAGTGTTACTAAACCCAGGACCCTGCACTCACTATATCTGTTTTTCCACAGTACACAGAACATAGAAATGAAATTATTTTAGTAAATATAAACTGCTAAATACCTTTTCTCTTCAGAAGTTAGAGCAGTCTTGTGACTTCTATCAGTGTCCAGCCCAGCACTAGCTAAAGCTTGTAGGAGAAGTAGGAGAAGATTTCTTTTTGTTCTAGGAGGATGCATATTCTCTGTCTGGACAGTGCTGATTGGTACAAAAAATGGCCACTACCCCAGTCTATAACAGGCCTTCACAGCAAGGAGCACATGGAAGGGCGAAGCATGTCAAACAACAAAAAATAAAAATTCCCAGCTCTAACTTGCCAGCCAGCCTGCAAACAAACCGAATTAACCTGTCTAACAGTATGTGTTAAAAACAGGGGTTTAGTTAGCACACATTTGCAAACACATTCGTAAGTTACAGAGCCTTGTCATGGCACCCCCAGTATTCTGTAGTTCCTAACTCTCCAATTTTAAGAGCCCCCATAGTAGAGGCACATGTATTTAATGCAGGCTTTGAAAATTTCCACTCGCCTGCTCACCAATGGCCAGTGGAAATTATGGTGGGGGCAAGTGTGTCCCCCAGGGCTGTCTTGCTGAGCAGGCCCGGAGCTCAGGCCGGATCTGTCATTGGCACTGGGAGCCGTCAGACTGCTCAATAGCTGAGCGCAGTGAAAGCAAAGGAAGGAGTGTGTGCTGTGCTCTCTGCCTCCCCCTAGAGTGCAGTACCTGGCTCTGTGAGTGAACAACGAAGTACTGCAACTTTTTATAGGGGTGTGTGTGTACATGTGTGTGTGTCTGTGTATGCATGTACATGTGTCTGTGTGTATGTACATGTGTGTATGTACATGTATGTGTACATTAATATTATTATTATAATACAGGATTTATATAGCGCCAACAGTTTGCTCAGCGCTTTAACATGTGTCTGTGTATGTGTACATGTGTCTGTGTATGTGTGCATGTACGTGTGTGTGTGTGTTTGTGTGTATGTACGTACATGTGTCTGTGTGTACATGTTTCTGTGTATGTTGTATGTTTGTACATGTGTCTGTGTGTATGTACCTGTGTGTATGCATGTCTGTACGTGCCTGTGTGTGTATACATGTGTCTGTATGTGCGTGTGTGTGTGTACATGTCTCTGTGCATCTGTGCATGTGTGTACATGTTTCTGTGTGTGTATGTGTATGTACATGTCTGTGTGTGTGTGTACAGGTGTCTCTGTTTGTGTGTGTTTTTTAGTGGTGAGTAACTCTTAAGGCCTGGCTAATAGTTCAGGACTTGAAATTTTAAGCCCTGATTTAATGGATAGACCAAGGGCAGATGGACCTGAGGGAGCCCACCCCTCCTTAAAGGTACAGGAGCGCACTGGACAACCAGCACGTAGCACAATGGCAGCTAAGGTGTCAAGTGCACCCCCTCATCCAACAATTCAACAGTACAAAAATGGCCACTGCCCCAGTCTGGCCTTCACAGCAAGGAGCACATAGGGCGATGTATGTCAAACAACAAAAAATAAAAATTTCCAGCTCAAACTTGCCAGCCAGCCTGCAAACAAATCGAATTAACCTAACAGTATGCGGTAAAAACATAGCTGATTGGCCCTGTACTGATCACATGCACTCTCCCAAGAAAAAAAAAAACCTCTCTAGCAATACACACCAAACTGAGCAGGTGCATGCCTACGGTTCAGTCTGGAGATAAGAGGTGGTCACTTGAAAAAGGGGAGGACCAGAGAAGACAGGATCAAACAACCTTTTTACACAGTGCAGAGGATTAACCTCTTAGGTTCCACAGTGAGTATAACATGCATGCTTTACTGCATATACAGACTGATTTTACTGTTGTGGGTTTAGTAACACTTTAAATTGATGGGTTTAGTTCTGCTTTGACGTTTGTTCCCTATTGCGGGAGAGATGGATGGTGTTTTGTGATTGGGCAGATGCTTCTGTGTACTGTCCCTTACCCATTCTGTACAAGGAAACCGTGTCTGTGTAATGGCCCCTTTTCACCCTGACCTGTCAGTGTTCACCTTGCCAGTTCTCCCCCCCATCCTCTGGCACTGTTAGCACCAGAATCCCCAGTGTAGGCTGGTGTCAGACGCTAAAGGGATACTGACATCACTCGGTTATGTGCTTATGCTTAATGATTGGTTGCTAGACCCAAGCACTGACACATTGGAGAAGGTCAAATACTCCCCCATGCCCTGAAGTACTTATCAGTGGATCACATAGACACTGTCACTTTTTTCGAAATGGGCAAAGTGAAAGCGTCTTTTTAATAAAACTATTGTATGTTAGATGATGATCTCTCCCTCCTCATTGGCTCAGAGAAAGCAACAGGAGCCATTGGCTCCCACTGCTGTCAATCACAGCCAGTGAGGAGGGAGTGAGAGGTGGGGCCAAGCCATGCTCTGTATGTCAATGGATGTACAGAGTGCTGCTAAGGAGAGTACCCCCATAACAAAAAAAAAAAACAAAAAAAATTGGTTTACAATTATTTCATTGATCAGAATGTGATAAGTAGTATGAACTTCAGACTATGATTTACACAAAGGGCAGGCGATCGAGCTGTGATTTTACTATCCCCAACCACACATGCCACGGTCGTGACTACCGCCAATTGCGACCAGTTTAAGTTTGGGGCCATGCCACAACCACACTTCAACTGCATGCATTTGCAGCACGATTGTGTGGGGTTTTATCCCCTCCTCAGTGCCTTTCACATGCCTTTGAGAAGTGGTGCACTGTGAATCACGATCAGAGGAGCAGCAAGGACTGTCCCATAAATGAACAAGCCCAAAGGCTGCGGGAGAAAAGGGCCCAGACACATAGTAAACTTTCCTATTTATTGGAAATTTCCTGTAAAAACAAGTGGTCTCATTTATCAGTAATACCTGTTTTGCCTGCAGAACCACCCCCCCCCCCAGAATTGAGCTCTATAGTGCAAGTTAAGAACTGAAGGAAGAAAATAATTGACTGGCAGGTCTTCGTTTCACTTCACACTAGTGATGTCATCCCTTGGTTTCATCTCTGTTCTCCTCTCCTCTAGACTCTTTGTAGGAATTTGTGGATGTGTACACTCACCAGTCAATGCCAATCATCATAGGTTTCAATTGGTAAATACAGTAGCATGTGCCAGCATACAGTATTGTCATTGAATTGGCAGCTTGTAGTCCAGCTCAGGAGTAAGCAGGAAAGAGTGACAACTCTGCAGCAGACTTGAGCAAGTGTTGTCACTCTATGGACAGGAAATATTTGTGAACACAGCTTTTATAGGTATAAAGTAATTGAAAGCAGGACATATAGAAAAAGGTTTTGCTTTAAACTTTTGCGCCTTTAAACTGACCTGAGCTCTTGGTCCATGGGAGCAACCAATGAGCTCAGGGGAGCAGGAGGTAGAACGTCTGGAAGAGTTGGCTGTTGAAGAAAACTTTAGGAGATGATTCTTTTTAGTGGAACAGTGTTTGGCAGCATGGGCAGCAGGAATGGTAAATATCCACCATCTGTTTTACAGGGTAAGAAAGAGTTCTTATAATAATAGATCCAAAGTAATTTTTTTAAGTTTTGGATAGAGTGGGGAAGAGTTAAATCCTCTGTCATGTTTCTATTGCTATCTGTGTCCCCTTTGGGAAGATTCACACCTCTATTTGTTCTGGTTACCATTGTCACCAAGAAATAAAGTGAGGGAAATTCCAAACGTTTAGCATTGTCCCCAGAAAAAGAGGAGAAAATCTTCCAATGTGGACAGCTGGTCTTAGAAAACTCCCCTCACTTTTGGAGGTTTCTCTGAACTTCATCAGGACAGGAAGTAAAGGGACATTATGCCCGAGAATAAAGACATAAAGAAAATAAACGGGCAGGGGGTTTAACCCTTTCCTACCCTATTAAAAAACATGTTTTGTCTGTACATACATCCCTTTATGTCTACATTTGAGGATGTTTAGTATGTGTTGGTAATGTCTGCAGGGCGGTAATAGACTATTTTTCACCCTAGGCAAGACCAGCTACTTGCACCCCTTCCAAAAAAAAATTTTTAAACAGCAGAAAATATTACATCAACTAAACATGAAACTGCTAAATTTCTTTTAATTTTCAAAAATAAGTGCCAAAAGATCCCACCAGCACCAATATTAAAGACAAAATCAGTGTCAAAGATGGATTGTATCTGTGGCTGACAGTGGCAGGGTGACAGTTGCAGTGAGAGGAGGATGATGGATCCATGGATGGAGGATGAGGTGACAGCAGGCAGCCCAGCCCACACACACAGAGAACTGGGCTATCCCACACGTGACAGATCCCACACAACACACCACCACCACCAATGCTGACACGGATTAGCAGGCCCAGCAAGCAGTAGAATGAGCACTCACTGCTGTGGATAGATTGTGGGATGATGTCATGTCACTCACTGACACATTGCATATGATGGATAGCCGGCCGGGCCACACTCACACAGATACGAGACATCAGAGTCAGACATTACCTTCCTCTGTAGACGCTGCTCCACCTCCACCTCCACTGATGAAGGAGAAAAGTGCTGAAACTCCACAGTGATCTAGCAGCTGCCAGCCAGATTGCAATAAGGGACTGAGTCTGAGAGGAACATTGGAAGGAGCGGCAGCTTAGCTGCTACACTGGTTGCAGACACGTGGCATCTTCCACCCCTCTGCTGCCCCTCCACTCTGAAGGATCATTCATGATGTGGTGGCATCCCACACAGAGAAAGTGTTGGCCTGTGCTGGGACCAGGCTCCCCTAGGTGGTAGTGTGCCCTAGTCGACTGCCTAGTTTGCCTAGTGGAACCGACCCTGAATGTATCACACATTGCATTTTGAGCTCTTCTCTTCTGGTCCTAAAGCTGGGCATAAACTAGTAGATTGTTAAATAAACATTTGCTCGAAATTCATATGAAAATTTCTAGTACATTTGATGACTTGACAAATGCCGTGAGTAAGTACGGTATCTCAGAATTTTGTTTGCTTTTAACATTCAATGTTGGAACAAACTGACTTTCCTGAACAGTTTCCATCCTGCTTTATTGAATTTTCTCGTCACTGTGGTCAGAAATGAACCTCAATTTGACCCCATTAATGATTAAAAAAATGGAACTAAACAAAACATTTTAAATGAAATTCTACTATTGTATGACTAACTGAAGACATGAATTGTAAATGTGGAACGTAATTTATATTTTCTGAGATAGAGTTCTTTAAGCTGTGATGTGATTGAAGAGACAGTGAACAGCTCTGTGCTACAATTGCTGAAAAAGAGAAAACACCAGCAACATGCTTTTGAGCGCTGCAGTTATATTCTCAAGTGTTTCCTGTATTTTATTGTTTTGGGTTTCGACTGATTCATTCATTCTGTAAACAAGTCACTTATGATGATGAATAGGAACACTCTGCCCTTTTTCTGCTGCCAGAGCACGCCTTTCTTAATAGGGATCATGTATCAGAAGTTTGTGGCTTTTACTAAGTGCTGTGGATTGTTCCTGATACATCAACACTATGTTACATACATGGTGATGAGCATTTAGTCATGTACATTATCTTCTGCCTTTATGGAATGTTTAGAAAACTTGCTAAGGTTGAAAACCGGGGAATTTCTGAATTTATATTTCTGTTTGAGCACTTGGTAGTTAGCGCAGTAATCCCCAAATATACGCACAATCAGAATAGCAAGTTTTGGGCTGTGGCTTTTAAGTAGGTAACAAAATATCTTGTGTTTGGCCAAAGACAACTCCACTCATCTTTGCTATTTTAGTTTCAGGTGTCCTTGGTGGGTTGAATCACCCACTGGCTTGTTGTATTATTATTTTTTTTAATTCATTAAATAATTTCTTTTTTTCCTTGGACCTCCAAACTATTGGGGCAGGCGGTGAAGCAGCCATCTTAGGCACGCTCAGTAGAATATCATACAAGGGTCAATTTTAGATAGTGGTCAGTTAACCTACTAGAATGTCTTTGAAGTGTGGGAGAAAACCAGGGTACCCATTGGAAACCTATGCAATCATGGGGAGGAAATGCAAGCAGAACCCCGTGCTGCAAGGCAATGTGCCAGTCACTGTGTTGTAGTGTATGTAGACTTCAGTGGAATGTTTTGCTTCTTGTCATTTTGTTTCTTGATTTTTTTTCACTCTTCTTTGGGGTCACTTTCTAGTCTAACATCTGGACTTCTCAGTTGTGTTTCCTGGGAATGTGGCACCAACATTTGGCATCACAATGGCTGAAGCATAGGTGGAAA